TGGGTTTTCGTCGCTTGGCAACGACGTTGTAAAACAAGCCAATTTACTTCGTGAACTCGGCAACCAGGTTACCGGCTTTTTTTTTACCTCCGTTTTTTTTTTGACGGTAACCATAATGGTGGCCGAGTAGATCATGTTGTGCGGGGTGGAGAACCCTCGCTCCGCGCAAGGGGGATGATCGCACCACGTTCTGTTGAACTCCTGTCCCTGTCGGTCTCGATGTTGTGCATGGGTCCATGCTTTGTTCATGGGGTTATGCATCTTGACGCACACCTCCAGCTCTTTGCATTTCTCTGCCTGTGGTTTCAGGTGCAGGGCGTTCTCTATTTTCTTGGGAGTGGGGGGTGTATTTGATGTATAGCCTTTCTGTGTGCGGTTCGTCAGGCCAGTACACGTTGCCCCTTGTTCGACGTCCATTGGTGGTTGTATCTCGTCGCGATCTTCGTTGTCGTTCCGTCTTTGCTTGCTGCCATCAATTTTCCTTCGGCTTTGACATTTGTTCGTCTCTTCCATTAAACCAGGCCGAAGCGCTGGAGCAGGCGAGCATCGCCTGGGAGGCTGGATTGTTGGAGAAGACCTTCAAGGACAAGACCAAGAAGGAGCATACGGCGGCGGCTAATCGTGCTCGCGACAAGGCCAAGGAACACCATGCCCGTTCGATGCAGAGCACATCTGGAGCGGGCGCTTCGGCGAAATCCACGAACGGGAAGGCGAAGGCCAAGGAGAAGGGACGTGGAGCGGTCCGCGACCAGGACCAGGTGACAACGAAGCGAGCGGGGTCTAGTACGGAGCCCGATTCATGTGTTAGATATACATATCCACTGAGCTAAACAGTCAGCGCTGACTGTTTAGCTCAGTGGATATGTTGTATATCTAACAAAAGTACAACCAGGGTCCGAACAGCTGTTAGGCTGTCTGACTCTGGTTTTCCCCCAGGGTTGTCCAACGATGGCGCCGGGGGCTCCGACGAGTCCGATTAATGTGTTAGATATACAACATATCCACTGAGCTAAACAGTCAGCGGCTGACTGTTTAGCTCAGTAGATATGTTGTATACCTAACAAAAGTACAACCAGGGTCCGAACAGCGGTTAGGCTGTCTGACTCTGGTTTTCCCCCAGGGTTGTAATCCCTGTAATCAGCGCTGCCCCAAGCGGTTCATCGGCTTACAGGCGGGGATATGTGTCTTCATCGTTGACGACTGGTGATGTTTACAATGACTTTCAGGTGTGTATCCCAGCTTTTTTTCTCTTTCCTGAAAAAAGGCGTCAAAGTGGCTCCCACAGGGATTCTAACCCTGGTTGAACGTTTTGTTAGATATACAACATATCCACTGAGCTGACTGTAAGCTCAGTGGATATGTTGTATATCTAACATCATGCACGTCCCGTCAGGGAAGCCGGAGGAGATCTGCGGTGAGCGCCGACGACTCTTCCGATGACGATGAAGAGACGGACGTGATGGACCAAGCGGCGCTAGACCCCGTGTTGAACCAGATCATGGACTTGCTGCACTCGACGGCAAGGGCCGGATCAGGGGGCACGGCGAGGAACCTCCTCCAATGACCGATGGCCGGGTCTGCGCCATCGTGGATGAACGGGTCGCAGCGGCAGTCGCAGCAGGTATGAGGCAATACGAGGCAGAGAGGCAGCAGCAGCACCAGCAGCAATGGCAGCAGCGTCAGCCGCAGCCGCACTCGAGCCCGCCCCGACCGGCGCTTTCCCACCCGCCCATGGGGTTGCGTTGTTAGGCGTTGCTCCTGCCGGCATGCCAGGCCCCTCCGTCGGCATTCACAGCACGATGTGGCCAGGTACGGCAGGGGGCGGGGGCACGGCGGTGGGTGTGGCGAAGGGTGGGGTTGGCATGAGCGCACCTGGAGGGGCCTCTCACGGACAGAGCTTTGCGGCGCCGAGGGAGGGAAAGACAGGGATCTCAGAGGCGCAAGAGGTCCGCGGGGGTGCGAGCAGCTCTCTCCCGGGTGTCAGCGGGGCGGATCCCCCACCATCGGCGCCGTCGACCAGGCCACCTAACTGTCAATGCGGTCAAGCAGCTCGACGAGTAGGACCCGTCAAAGCGTTAAGTAGATGTTTGATTTTTAAACGTACCCAGCTTGTAAGGTTGTCTCCTTTCAATTATCCTAGCCTTGAGTTCGCTGACAGCGTGTGATCGTGGTGCGATTTCGCGAAAAACCTTCGCACAGCCCATCCTAACCCACACATGCCCATCTATACCACCTGCCCCGGATCGCGCGACACAGGACGGTGCCGCGAACGGGACTATATCCTGGATGTGTGCCAAGGCGGACAGGAACCAACAGTGCAACTTCTTCGAGCTCATCAGCCGACCGGGAGGGGGAAGCATCTCCACCGGCCGCAACAACAGCATGGGGGGAGGCGGCACACGTTCACGGGGAGGCACAGGCGGGAGGTCGGTGGGTGGGTATGCCGCTCCCACTCAGTCATCCCGCCGCCGCGCGGCCGACGTGTCTCAGGTTCGGCCTGGGTGCTCAAGGGGGAATAGTGAGAAGTGATGCTAACCCCGGGCCGTACCAATTTCAAATATATATGTCGACCTTTTACATTCTTTGGTAATACCGGGCGGTGATGCGGGACGACAACCACCGGGCGGTGATGTGGTTGCTTTTGGTCCGCCTCGTCCTTTTTTTCTGTTCATTGAAGGTCCAGGCGTGTGGCCTCTCTCTCCGTCGGCGTGTGGGTGTTGATGGCGTCGACTGGTTTGAGATATGGGTCCTGACACGTTTAACCCGCGGCGGTCAACGAATGGAGAGTTCAAGAAGGTAGCCGCGTGTCTTGGGTTCTCATATGCTCTTAACGAGTCGTTTTCGTATTGTTTGCTGTTCACGTACTTGGTGAACGGTTGTCCACCTGTTCCGTGGGCATCGTGCATATTTCTAGCGAACCCATCGCAGGGGTTGCGTTGTGTATGGGTTTGCTGCCTGTTTGCTTGTCTTGAATGTTTTTTTTTCTTTTTTGTGTGTGTATTTTAATTGGGGGTGGGGGGAGCGAACTCATCGCTGGGGCGGCGTTGTGTGTGGGTATGCTGCCTTTGTCTTCTCTTTAATGCTTTCTTCATATCTCCTTGGGCGACTTACATGTTTCGAGCGAACCCGTCGGAGGGGCGGCGTTGTATGCGGGTTTGCCGCCTTTTTTTTTGTGTGTTAAATGTTTTTTTTTGTGTGTGTATGTGTTATTGGAGGGCGGGGGGAATCCTTCACATTTCCGTGGGGGGCTTGCATGTTTGGAGCGAACTCATCGCTGGGGTGGCGTTGTGTGTGGGTCTGCTGCCTTTTTTTTTGTCTTT